ATAAAATTTTAAATTATCTAAAGGAGAATGTGATTATCTCACAGTGGACTCCATCCATTCACCACAAAATAATGTTATATCTAAAAGAAGTGCACTAAATTGGATAAACTAGAGTCTAAGTCTAATAAATTCATATTTTTGGGATATCCAAAAGAGACAATTGGATATAAATTCTATAATTCAAATAGAATAATGTCTTCGTCTTAAGACATGCCATCTTCCTAGATGAAGAGTTCATTTTAGGAAAGGATAGTGAGAGCAAATTAGAAGTTGAAAAGGTTCAAGAGTCCCCGTAAATAATTGACCAAGTAGATGAACTTGAGTTTGCTCCACACATGTTGATGGAAAAACTCTTGATCAGGAAGTAGAGACTCCTCAGGATACTTTGATTCAACATAAGTCTAGTAGGTTCATTCGACTTCCTAGATGGTACAAATTCACGATTACTATTAGGCATTACTAATCGAAGATGATGAACCTCCTAGAAGGTACAAAATCATGAGTACTAGTAATGATGAATCTCCACACATGTTGAGGGAAAAACTCTTGATCAAGAAGTAGAGACTCCTCAGGACACTTCGACTCAGCATAAGTCTAGTAGGATCATTTGACTTCTTAGAAGATACAAATTCACTATTACTATTAGACATTACTAATCGAAGATGATGAACCTCCTAATTATGCAGAAGCAAAGTCAAGTGTTGACTCAAAGAGATGGCAAGATGTCACAAAATTCGTGATGAACTCAATGTCAATATGGATGAAAACACAAGAAAAATGTCGATATTGATGGAAACAGCCGTACATACAAAACAAAGCTAGTAGAAAAATTTTATAAACAAAGACAAATAGTTGACTTTGATGAAACATTTTCACATGTACTCATGTTTAAGTCCATTCGGATTTTGCTTGCTATAGTTGCATATCATGATTATAAGCTATGACAAATGAATGTCAAAACTACATTCTTTAATGGGAACTTGCAAGAAGAATATTTATATTACACAACTAAAAGGTTTTGAATCCAAAGATGTTAACAAGGTATAGAAATTTGATTGATCCATATATGAATTTAAACAAGTCTCAAGGAGCTGAATTTGATGAGACAATCAAAAAGACCGTATGTACAAAAAGACAAGTGGGAGCGCTGTTGTGTTCCTAATATTATATGTAGATGACATTATTAATGAAAAACGACATCCTCATGCTTCGATCAATGAAATTATGATTGTCAAAGAATTTTCCATGAAAGATATATGAAAAGCAACCTAATCTCTAAAGATTGATCAAGAAGATTGCTTGAATCATCCCAATCTACATAAATAAAATCTTAAAAAGATTTTATATGAAGAAGATAAACTGAGTGTTCATGGATACATTGATGCTAACTTTCAGCCAGATTAGGATGATAGTGAATCTCAATTGAATATGTGTTTACTCTTAATAATGGAGCGGTTAGTTAAAAAGGTTCCAAATAGGTAACATCAGTTGATTCAATAATAGAAGCTTAGTCATTATTGCTTCATAAGCAAAAAAAAAAAAAAAAAGCTGAGGCCTGAATCATGAAGTTCTTTAATAAATTTGGAATATTTTCTAATATTGTTGATCTCATACATCTGTGTTGTAATAACAATGGAGCTATCACGCAAGCGAAAGAACAAATGTCTCATTAATGATCTAAATATGTGTTAAGGTGATATCATCTCATTAGAGAGATCGTATAAAGAAATGATAGAAAGAAAGAACGAATTCTCACAAGTGATAATATTGCAGATCCATTGACAAAGAGTTGTCACAACATAAACATGATTGTCAAATAAACTCTTATAGTGTTAGATATATAAGTGATTAAATCTAGTACAATTGGGAGTTTGTAAGTGTGATACCCTGGGTTGAATCGATTTTGGACGAACAACTTTTAATATGATTAATATATTTTATTTATGACAGATCTATTATTTAATTGAATTATTATTCTGAAAAAATAAATCAATAGAGGCTATAGATTTAAGTTTTGGTAACTTGTTAATCACAAGGAGTTGTGATTGTGAGAAACAAATTATATATGGTTGAATCTTAAATTATCAATGATCGTAAGTAATAACGAAATATAGATATCATTATTACAGATAGACGCTCGTGTGACATTTCCCACTTATTAAGTGAATAGCTGATCTCACAAGTTAAATTTAGTGATATTTAAATGGACTCGTGAATATTTTGTTAAGAGAACAAATTGGTGACCCACATGGATAAATATTTGAGCATAAATTGTTAGTCTTTAATAGTTGGTAGTAGAATTGGTTCTTTGACTTAAGGTCATTATAGTACCTTGTATGATGTCATTCATACTTTGTTGATGTCGAATGTTGCTTTGTCAAGAGTCAGTTAAGGTATGTCAAGATTTATATGAAGGTTGTGAATTATCAATACATGATTCGTCATTCTTATATAATAAGAGTTTATAATCTACATTTCATTCGATTAAATTGATAATGAAATCTTTGGCCAACGAAATTTCATAAGTCGAAAAGAAATTTGACGTTTATTGACTTAAGCACGTGAAAAAAAATATGATCGATCATCGAGATTGTTACACTTTCATATCTCGTAATTGATCATATGATATTGACGAAATAATTATCCTTTCACTGTAAACAAATAAGTTTTATTTTATCACACCCCGTGACATTTTTCATCACATGTATTCCCTGACACATTACTAGATGTTAATTTAGGACGACGAATGTGAATTAATTAATTTGAGTAAATTAATGATATATTAAAATAGAATTTTAATTTATCTTATTTTTATTATATCAAAATCATAATTCACATCGTCCGACAACGTGATCGAAAATCTAATGGGCCTACACAAAAGGTAGAACTAAAAGAATGATATTATGAAATAATTACTTGACAAGTGTTAAACATTTGTAGAATTAATTAATTGAATTGTTTATTAATGAGTTTCAGTTAATTGATTAGATTAATTAACTTATGTGCTAAGTTTAATTAATTAAATTTTGGATTGGCCTATGCTCAATAGGTGGGTCAAGCTCACATAAGTTTTTATTAATAAATGGTTCGGATTTGAAAAATCATAACACATTTTTTACAATATCATAATCTTTCTAGTAAAAGACGGAGAAATCATAATCTTCCACTCTTGTAATTCTGTGTGGATTACGATTGAAGGTTGAACAATTGAGGTATGAAAAGATCATAATAGATCAAGATTCACAAAGATAAGCAAATATCGTCAATGTTCGTGATCAAAATTTTCAAATGAGGTTGAAGGATTTACCAAAATGTATAATTCTAATTACGATTTCTATTTAAACACGAAGCCAAAAAGGAAATTGAAATTATTTTAAATTACGCTGTGCAAGACTAATAAAATTCCCAACATACGGTACTATGTTTCGCGTACTCATCCCACTTGGTAGGGCGGATGCAGACATTTTAGGCTGTGGGGTACAATCAAACCCTGTACAAATCAAATACTATGTTCTTGATTTTTGAATAATTCATATTTGACTTGAAACAATGCAAATTTACATTTTTAAAAAAATATTTTTTTCATTAATATTTTTCTAATTATTTTCATCCATTTGATTTCGAAGAGTCATTTTATTGATGTTTTGTTCATCACAAGAAAATGTATATTTACGTTTAAAAATCTTATAATGTATTTGATACAAACAATCAATTTAAGTAATTGAAAGGAAAACGTATAACTACTATTCAATACTAATAGTCAATCAAATAAACACAATTTGTTAAATATAAGTCAAATTGGATATAATAAGTTCAGACACATTCTATATACACAGTTTGATATGAGAAAATGCAAATCTAAGTTCTAATTACTTGAAAATTTGATTGGAAAGTGAAAAATTGTAGTAAATGTGATAATTTGTAGAGAAATTATATACAAATTTTAAAAAATTAGAAACATTAATATTTTGTTAAAAGGCGTGAAGAAAATAGTAAAAGAGAACAGGAGAAAAGAGAAAAATTCAAATTTATTGTGATTTTGCCCATATTTGATGAATATTAAAATCAAGAGAAAAGAGAAAATATTATTTTATTAAAGAATGTGTGGTTAAAAATGAGTAGAAGAATGAGAATGAAAAAATAATGTGTGTCAAACATGAACTTAGATTGGATTGTCTAGTGAAAAATCGAGCAAAACTCGACCTTGGATTAGTGTAAATGTGGACCCGATCCATCCATGGAAATGGAGTCGGGGCTCAGCCATATTTACAATTATTTACCGTTATTGGAAATTCTCTGATACTTTGTGTTGAAAATATGGATAATTCTATTTGTATATTATGCCATCCATAATGGATGACATAATGTACAAGTAGCACGACCCCTAAAAATATAAAACTGATAGATATGTTGTGGGGACATCTGAAGTAAAAGAATAATAATATAATCTTCCTTTAATTCTCCACCAATAGTGTCATTGCTATCACCCATGGTGTGGCACTAAAGAAGAAGATGACATGAACTGGTGAAATCAAAGGTGGCCATTGATTTTAGATAAAATTTAAACTTCTACCATAACCCTCTTTTCTCTTATCTTCCCAATTAGAAAATATGCAAAAAAAAAAAAAAACATGGATATTTACAGCAGATATTTTTTTTAGCAAAATCAAGAAAACCCATAATTTTATTTTATTTTTTATTTTCGTGCAAAAGTATATTTGATGTATAAATATCTCACACTATAAAGACAGATTGATGATAATGGCGGATTCTACGAGAGTAAAAGCCTCAACTACTACTACTTTTCTTACAGCCAATTTTTTTGTTTTAGTCCCCACAATATCTTCCTCTCCCATAATTCCCACCTTAGCAATTTGTTTCTTTCTAGGCGATATAATCAAGAATACCCATAAGGCAAAACCCCCCAAGATGCTTTAAAATTTATTTTATTTTTATTCAGAAGTAGAACTTTTTCTTGTTCTCGTTCAATTGAATAGAAAATGGCTGTGGCTGTGGCTGTGGCTATGGCTTCCACTGGAAGTAATTTTGGGCTTCACAGTAATTTGAAAGCTATTGAAAAACAATCCATTTCAAAGGCTGCTCCTTTGAGATGCTTCTTTAGTTTGGATCCAGTTCATCCTTCATGCATTATACCCAAAAGGAGGTAATTCATTTATATCAGCATTTATCTTGGTGTGTGTTTGGTTATAGATACAGAAATTGCTTTTTCTCCTTTGTTTGAATTTTTGAATCTTTCTGTGATTTGAGTTTACTCATTCTGATTTTTGTATATCTTAAACTTGTTGTATTTGTCGTTAGCTTAAATTTTGGACTCCCAGGTTAGGCTTGCTCTGTTAATCATTTGTATTCTTAATTGGTTGTATTTTCTTGAGTTTGGATTTGTTGAGGAAAAAGAGTATATTATAAGAGCATTGAATTTTTATTTTTTTTCTTTTCCATTATCAGTGCATAAATTTAGTTATCTTTGATGCTCAAGATTTAGTTTTTAGCTAATGTAAATCTTTGATTGTTTAAAAATAGCTGTTGTAAAGCCTAAAATATAAATTGTATTTCCTTTTTCACTTATTTAAATGCCGGTGGTTTCGTTATTGTTTTTTTGAATGAAGTTCCTCCAGCTGGAAATTATCCTCTGGATTGGCTAAATTTGTCAACGACTGTAAACAATTCAATAGAAATTATCAGAATCGTAATTACAAAAATAATGTATCCCGATTCATAAATTTAACTGCATAGCTCAAGACACTTGACTTATTCAGTTGCAACTTCCAAATCCTTCCTATAAAGTCCTTTTATGTCCGGTTGTCTTGTTTCAGCTTGTCATTTTCTGCGAGTACAATTATTGGAAAAGCGACTCCGGCCACAGCTGTTGAGGTATCAAAAACTGTTTATTGCTTCAATTATTTTTTCGTTTTGAGTATTTAACTGCTCATTACTCATTGCTAAAATAGCTAGTTTGATTGTGGAAATTGGCAAAGCAGGGTGGAAATTCTCAAGAAACTGATACAGTTCCAATGCCCAGTGTTCTAATAGATCAAGACTCAGATCCAGATGCTACAATCGTAGAGATAACTTTCGGGGATCGTCTTGGGGCTCTTCTCGACACAGTATGACGTCATCCTTTTAGTGCATGTTTAGTATGCACTACTGCATATATAGGACTAGACCCTATAATTTTTCTTGTTTAATACTTTACTATCCAATTCTCCTTAAAACATGCCATTGTCTACATTTCTAGGTTCTACATAGTTGGATCTAAACAGGATTCTATAGTTGGTTATCAACATTAATTTCGCAGAAGATATTTGGTGCCTGTTACGTGATTGTTGGCCTATGTGTTTCAGATGAATGCTCTTAAAAATCTTGGACTGAATGTTGTCAAGGCAAATGTCTACCTTGATTCATCTGGGAAGCACAACAAATTCGCTATCACTAAAGCGTAAAGTTTAATCCCGGAATCCTCTTTTATAAGCTCTTTACATATAAATATTCTGCTTTCTTTTGTTTGCGGAATTCTCTGTCAATGAAGTCAATATTTTTATGGACTATGTGGATTTAGATGTCTGATAGTGCCAACTCCATGTCATGTTCCATTGTTCCTGATCATTTAGACATAAAAAAACATTCAGTTTTGGGACAAACGGACTGCTATCCTTTTCTTAAAGGCTCAAACTTGAGGTTCTTGTCAATAATATTTGCCTATAGCCTTGGAAATGTCAGAAATAGTATGTGAGACATACAATTCATATCGGTTCGACTTCTGTACTCCTCTCTAATGTCTTGTTTGCCTGAGCTTGAAGTATGTGTCAAAGTTCACTAGCTCGGTTGTCAAACATACACGTGCGAATAGAGAATCACATATATTTTCTAAAATTTATAGAAGAAAAGTATTTATTGTGAGTTTGTGGAATCCAAACCTCGAAAAGTTTCTAACTTTATTTCTAAATTCTTCAATTAATTATATCAGTTGATAAAAGTTAATTTTTATTTTTATTTTATTTGTATTTTTTTTGGTGATTTTCATTATCTTTATACGGGACTTGTTTACAGTTCAACAGGGAGAAAGGTTGATGAACCCGAGTTGCTCGAGGCAATACGTTTGACAATAATTAACAATCTGATAGAATATCATCCGGTATTCTTCTGTTAATGAAATTTCTAATAGATTACCTCTTGCATGGCTTTTATTCTGTAATTTTATTACTAATTCTGAATGAGTTTTCCAGGAGTCAAGTTCACAGTTGGCTATGGGGGTCGCATTTGGTGCCATACCACCAATTCAAAAGGTATTTACCCCTCATTATTTGTCTGACTGTTAAGGGATATCTAACACATAGAATAAAAACAAAAATATTAATCAACATATAAGGACTTGAACCACTCATCTTAATAAGGTTGACCTTTTAAGATGAAACCCATAAATCTTAATATGTATTTGAGCGTATTAAGCTCCAACAAGCAATTTAATTCGACTAAGACTCATAATGAGTACTTAGGTTTCAAGATTGGTGCTCTCATATGACTCATCATCTTGTGAGGGTATGTTAAGTGATAATCCTTCATTGAATAAATATGAAAATATTAATGCTTGAAGTATTCATCTTAATAAGGTTGTCTTAATAATGACTACGTCTTTCTCTTTATAGTTTGGGTGTATATTTAATAATTTAGCAATTAAATTTCAACACAACAATCAAATAATTCTCGATTGACTTGTCGAGAAAAAAATGAAGTTTGAACTTTAATTTAAAGCTCATATGAAAACAAGTCAAGCTTGAACAACTGGTTGGTATGATATAATTTGGATTTTGCCAAAAGGTTGTATCGGTATTATTACCATAAGTATATCAAGAACGTGGATGAGCGTAACATCCTGCATGGAATTTTATTTACACACAAATAGTCAACCTCTCTGATCCTGATCAGCTAACAGTTTACTCAATAATTGAGCATTACTTCCTTTATGGTTATGTCTCATGCAAAAATGGACATTTATTTGAAGATTAAAATTTATTGCAAGTATGTTAATTCGTCTGATTGTCTTTGTGCAGATTGATGTGGATATAGCAACCCATATCACCGTCCATGAAGATGGTCCTGAACGAAGGTACGTACTTAGAGCATGTCAATATTGCACGCATTTAGCAGTTGAACTAATCACTGGATTAAGTGTGTGCTCGGCAAGCTTAAAAAGAAAAAGTAGAAGTGTGTGCTAAAAACATTTGGACTACTATTTGTTTCTTATTTTTAAGTAAAAATGTTACTTATCTTAAACTTACTATCTAAATAAATAACTTGCCTCTTTCCAACTTTGACCTATAAAAATTATCGTAAAAACTGACATATTTACGCACAAGTATACTTTTTAAGCTTAGCTAGAAACGCTCCAAATGATGGTTGATGAGTGCTGTAGGAGATGGAGATCCTATTACATATATTATACGAAGACTTTCAATGTTTAAATTCTTATTTTAGGAAAAGTAAATAGGATTTATTTAATATATTTCCTAGTATTTTATTAGTTTTGTCTTACTTAAATTTGATTAGTTTAAAACCAATATAAAGGGGATTACGCATTGTAATAGTTAGACTTGATTAGTGTATAAACTCATATTTTTCCCCTCTAATTTCTCTATTTTATCTCCCCTTTCTCCCCCTCTCTCAAGTCTCATTTGCTTGTTGTCAATCTTCATTACAAGCAGCTTATTTCCTTACTTTGATAGCATGTTGGTGCTAATTAAAGGATTTTATATATAAGTATTCCAATATTGGCAGCTTACTCTACGTGGAGACAGCAGATCGTCCTGGATTACTCGTGGATCTTGTAAAGATCATTACTGAGATAAACATCTCTGTTGAATCTGGAGAGTTCGATACAGAGGTAAATAACTAGTTTAAGACAATAATATCGTCAATGATTACACTATGGTAGCTGTAGCAATAGAAATGGCTGCCATTTTCATCTCATGGAACTTTCGAATTTTGGTGCACAGGGTTTGTTGGCCAAGGCAAAGTTTCATGTAAACTACAAGGGAAAAGCTATTATCAAACCCCTTCAACAGGTATGCCCGGTTATTGTAAAAACATGCTTTTTACGATGATTTGGAAACTGCAATTTATCGGTCTAATCCCAAATAATGCATTTGATCTTATAAAATGCTGCTACAGGTTCTTGCGAATAGTTTGCGTTATTTCTTAAGGAGGCCAACCACTGAAGAATCGAGTTTTTGACAAGGTGATGACATGAGAAGAAAAAACTTGGTTAATTATGTATTTTGTTAGTTCTAAGAATCAGTTTATGTTAATAAATTGCAGCTTAAAGCGGAAATTACTTGAACTATTACTCTAAAATATATATGTAAAATAGTTATAATCTGTACATTTCTGTAGTTATCCTAGGTTTTTTTTTTTTTTTTGGTCGATTTACTTGAAAAAATGAAAATCAATTTAATTTAAGTTATTAAAAGTGGAAGCTTGCCTTTTCTTGTCCTGAAATGCAGGCATATAATTCAGCTTATCCGATAAAATGAGAAAAAATTAACTATGGTTGGTGTCTATGCTCAGACATTTTAACGTAGTGTGGTCCCAAATACCATTATCATATTAGTAATGGTACCATTTTTAGAAGAAACAACATGGCAATCGCTATCTCATGAACAGCTTGATATCTACTGGAATCCAGTCATTTTGGAAGAAACTTAAAAAAAAAAAAAAACTAAGGGCCTATTTGTTTCTACTATAAATCACAATTTGAAACGCTGGGAATACTATTCAGCCGAAAAGTTTGACTTTTGTGTGTCTGGTGGAGCAAAAAGTGTGGAAAAAAAGGGTAAAAAAATTGATTTTTTGGTTAAAAAAATTTCCATCAGACAGGTTCTAAATTGGGCCAAGCTAAATAATGCAAAAGCATATAAATAACTAAATTGGGTGGCTGCTGATAAGGTTTATGAGGTATTCTTTCTATGGTGAAAACTTATGGTCCACTGGCTGTGGAAAGGGACAAGGGTCCTTTCATCATCATTATATGAAGTGCCAAAAGCAGAATGAATATATAGGTACAACTTGTAGTATCCAACAAATGGACTTTTCTTCAATTTTCTAGCCAATTGAATTATAATTTTGATTTTGATTTCTTTTGGGTCATCAAACTTTACTTGGGTTTTAGTTTCACCATTATGTCACGGTATTTTTTTCAAATTGATGAAAATTACTTAATTGACAGTTATACCACAACAGAGATTCAAAGTAATCTTTGCATGACATGCCAACTTACCCATTTTGCTATTTTTGATTTTTAGAGTTCCACATATCGCTTGTGCAGAAGATATTAATCACAGTATGACTGCTAACTAAGTAAACTTCGTTAGCTTTTAAGACGATATGTGATGAAATGGGGCATAATGATGAATTTTGAAACTAAATTGAAGTCCAATGACTCAATTAAACAAATTAAAGTTTAGTATTGCTCCAATTCAGATTACACTTACAGTTCAGTGACTACAGATTAATTTACCCTGTGGGTCCTTGATAGAGCTCGGGATCTCTCGAGAAATTGATGTTTTCGCCATATTTGACACATCCATTAAAATAAAAACAATACTGAGATGATTAGCATGAGCTCTATGAGAGGATGATTAATAAATAGTCATTTTTTTAATACAATGAATTCGACATGAATGATGAAATTTTAAAACGTATACAAATGAAAATTTTTCATATTATTGATTCAAACCCACGTACCAAAAATGCCAAATATATATTCCTTCTTATCTCTTTGTTTGTTCTAAATGGAAAGCATGGGAAGGCAGGACGAGGTTTCTAAGGGCCATAGTCTATGTAATCAAAACCAAAAAAGACAAATCAAACTTCTACTTTCTGGTAAGTGTATTTTTGTGCACTTATTTGGTCTATATTACTAAACTTTTATGTCATTTTAGTATTGGATTTTACTTAATCCGTTTATAAGCAATTGGAAAAGAAAGAAAAATAAATCGACTAATGGATGGAAGTTTGTGAACTAATATGCATTTGAGTAAAAATTGAAGCACTAAATCGAAATAATTTAATGTGGAGAATCAAGATGGAAAAAATGGCTGAAAGGAAAATTCTTGAAGTTTCTATAATTGGGCAATCGTCCAGACCAAGTCGGGAAAAAAAATTATGCTTCTTTCAAAATTCAATTCCAACAAGGTAATTTTTGCTTGGGCCATGATATGCACGATTTTTGGAAATCTTTTGGACTTTAGATGGATATAAATAATAACTCTCAAAAAATAATTAGGGTGTGAAGAATTAATTGCAAAAGGATGGCAAAGAACAAATCAAGATCAAATCCAAAAAATTAAGATTGAATTCAAGAATTTCCGGGTGATGAACAACATTTATATCTTTTGGTTTTTTTTTACAACATGTTGGCTATATTTATTTGTGCTAGGAGCGAATAACCGTGTAATATGAATTTTTAATCTTTATTTATATATACTTGAATATTGAACACACGTTTTTAAATATTGAATGATTTATATGATTTTCTTTTCTCCACAATTATTATGCATGATAGTTGTGTGAATGTGGTAGCCTATTTTATGCATTCGAAAGAATGAAAATATGTTCGACATATACAAATTGTCATATGGTCCGATAGTGATAGAAATATACCACTATGCTATATGTAAATCTTTAAGTGTTCATAAAAATTCATGCACTCTTGCGTGTTCGCATCCATCATAAAAATATAGTTGGGTCATATATGAGAGTATGTTTAACGTTACTCGAGTGCTTTTGTTAAATAAAATAGGATCATTGATTCGTCAAAATTCAATCGTGTTGTTAAAGTGTAAAACTAATGTTAAAATTGATTATTATATAAGAATTCAGGATCCCAATGCGTTTGTCATCTATTAAACACATAAATTTACATTTAATATAATTTGTATTTAGTTTAGTTAATTTATTCACAATTACATAAGTAGATTAGTTTATTCATAATTTTGTCACATCAAACACATCATATTATTCTTGTTTCGGTCAAAGTCGTGATAATTAAAATTAAACTAATCAATCTCTGTGTAACGATATTGAACTCAAAATGCACTTTATTACTTATTAACGAACCGTACATTTACGGTAATTTTAATTCGAAGTATATTTTCGTGAACACGTTTTTTACGTCGTTATCGGGGATTGAGTTTTAATTTGATTTTAATTACATTGGCACTAATTCGGACTTTTACTTGTATTATTAGTTTCGTTCCATTTTAGTTTTTTTTTTCTCTTTCTTTTTCAGGATATATAGAAGAACAAAAATAACCAGGATAAAAGATGACCGTTGTTGATTTCAACAAAATGCTCGTATGTTACTTTATTATAAGGCAACAATAATTGGCAACTCAAGAAATTGATGAAGGAGATATGTTTGTAGGAGACTTCATTATAAGACAACAAATACGCGATATAAAAACAGAATGCGAACTTAATGAAATTGTCTTGGGTGACTTACCCATTGCATTATTTCTTTCACTACAATTTGATGTGGATGATTTGTCTATGTGATTATTTCTTCCACCGGTTAGTCATGGACGTCAATTTAGGAAATCACGTCAAAATAGTGTCTACTATAGCGTTGAACAACTTGCCACTTATGATGATATTTGTTTGAATTGAGAATAGCTTTAGCTAGAATTGGACAACATTGCATCTTATACTTTTACTTGAGTGCTTATTCATGTTGGACTTGTTTACTTGAGCACATAGCCATCATCGACTTATCACTTATGTCGGAGCATGACTTGATTATGTGGATTTAATTGTTTATGTGTTGACCTAAGTTTAAATAAAATCTCCAAATCATTTATATAAGCAGTTTGATGGTGGGTAGGTTAGTGCTTGTGTTTATAGAAATTCGATGGTTTGGAGTTCTTGAATCAAATCTTTGGTTGAAGGAGTCTAGAGCGGACACTGATAAAAAATAAAATCTCAATTTTATATCAAAAGAAAATGTGATACATCTTACACTTCTCGTTGAAACCTTTATGACTCGAATTATTAAGCATATTAGGGTATTTAAAATCTGGTGCCCTATGGTTATCTGGCTTGAAAGTTATCGGCTTAAAACTCGCTACATTGATCATTTAGATAGATTAATGGAGAGAATTTTTGCACATAAGATGTCAGAAAAAAAAAGAAAGAAAATACCAAAATATATATTCATAGTGAAAGAAAGAAAAGTGATTTAAATTATTAAAGGTGAGAGGTGCTCGGTAAAGATTTTGAGATTTGAACTCTAGAGACTGACGGTGTAACTTTGAGAAATTCTTAACATCTCTCTTATAGGTGTACAAGTATCTAATTATGATCACTTTGTGTGGAAAATGCTTTTTAATGATTATTAGGAACCCACACGTGCGAAAAATATCTTGGGATTGGAGTGAAGAGCATAAGGTGTGATTTTGCATGAGAGGTGTGAGGAAAAATTGACCACACACGGATTGTGATTATGATTAAATCAACAATACTTAATTGGTTGTGTTCTAGTATGGGTGTGAGTTCAATATTGGCTAATCCTATACACAGCAAGTCGAGCATCAGATGAGTAAAAATTTATTTTTGATGTTGTTTGGATCTTTTTAAAGTGTTGTTTAAATTTGAACTTGGGCATATGGTAAGTCGTTTAACGTTGAATTTGTTATTGGAGATTTTTTTTAGGTCAGTAATATGATTTATTTCCAAGTATTGTTGTGTTTTGTTTTGTTCGAGGACGAATAGAAGTTTTAGTTTGGAGGTGTTTGATATGTGCATTTTTATGCTCTTATTCGGGCAATATTACTAAGCTTTTGTGTCGTTTTAGTATAAAATTTTACTTAATTTAGGTTAATTTTATTTTATTTTAGTTTTGAACATGTTTCTAAGCAATTGAAAAAGAAAGAAGGATCAATTGGCCAATGGATTGAAGTTTGGGGCTAATATATGCATTTGAGTAAATGTTGAAGTACTAAAATTGAAGTAATTTGATGTGGAGGACCATAATGGAAGAAAGAATGAAAAAAATGACTGAAAGGAAAATTCGAGAAATTTTTATGACTGGGCAGCCACCTAGTTATATAAATCGGGATGTCGCCCAGACCT